GGGCTGCCATTGTGCGGCGCCCGAAGGGTTAAGTGTCTTTGCCCAAGGACCCAGAGTGGCAGTCTGTGGGAGTGGGGCTTGAACGCACCACTCCCCCACCTTAACTGAAGCAGTTAACTGAAGCACTGAAGAAATATAAGCACTGTGGTCGATTTTTCATGCTGTACAAATGCCATATATATGTATGTGGGTAAATATCGGTTATCGCCCATAACAGCAATATCCATGTCAGATAGCCATTATCCAAGATTTTCATATTTGTGCATCCCTGCATTTAGTATTGGGAGACAAAAAAATAAAATCAGTTCATTGCTAGATTTACCCGGTCACAGGGTAGGACATGAAAAACAATTGCTGTTTAAGTAACAAAAGATGCTTAAATACGTCAAAAAAAAGGCATTACTTGAAGGAATAGAATACAATAGCATGGGAACAGTCAATTTTGTTTTATAAAGGACCTTTAAATGTTTCTTTCTTATGCAAGAACAAAACTATTGCAAAAAAAAGTTTTTTTTTCCAATTTTTTCCAAGGATCTTAACAAATATGGCAGACAACACATTAGGGAGCACCTGACAGCCACTCAGAGGGTCAAATGTTGAAGGTTCCTCCAGCAATATGAGCAACTAAACTTCATGCTGAATAAATTTGCTTTATTTCTCTCTCAACAAAAGCCACAATTCTGTTTAAATATAATCGCCAAAATTTACAATAAAAAAAAACTTGTTTTATCTTGAATAGGCTGAGAGGATTTATCTGGAAATCAAAACAGTTTTCAGTCTTGGAGCAGTCAGCCGAGCTGCAAACACATTTAAACACAAGAAGTCGCTCTGATTGATTCAACTAAAATGGATAAAAACACAATAACGCCGAATTGTTGCAATGATCCGTCAAACGTTGGAGGGCGGACTCATGCATGTTTAATGGAAAAATATTTCTCAGTGATGAAGATGATTCAGGCGCTCCTCCTGATCAGTCAGACGCTTCTAGCTAACACATCTATAGATGTGTTAGCTAGAAGCGTCAAATCAGACTACAAATCAGAAACCAAACATGTTATGGTTGATCTGCTCAGTGTAATTATTAGTTTTAGTCTAAACAGTAAAGCAACTGTTAATTCAGTGGAGAGAGAAAGTAGGATCTGCTGTAAATAAACAAAGTTATGACAATAGCAAGGATTATTTTGACCTTTTTGCGTTCCATCATATCACAGCTTCAGTGCATCATGGGATTTATTGGGATTTTACACAAAGATTAACAAAAAGTTGTGCACAATCATAAGCAGCTAATTTAGATTGGCTTTTAAATAGCTGTATCATGTTTTCCACTTCATCTCTTTTTGTGATTTTATGGCTGTTTATTTAGAAAAGACTGCTTTTTCAAAGGTTTTGATCATTAGATGAGTTATATTGAATACATATATGCACACACTAGAAGGCCTAAGCATGCTTGTAGCGACAGTGGAGAGGAAAAACTCCCTTTTAACAGGAAGAAACCTCCAGCAGAACCAGGCTCAGGGTGAGCGGCCATCTGCTGAGGCCCACTGGGGTTGAAGGAGGCAATGTATCCCATAGCATGATGCTAGCACCACCACCATGTATCGCAGTGAAGATGGCATTAAGGGTGTCGGTTCACTGTGCCTCCAGGTTTTCCACACTTTGTTTTGTGTCAATGAATGAACCAATTAACCAAGAAATGTTAAAGATTTGGGATATCGTTCTGAAATGGAATCCTGCTCTAAATCCTTCTGCAACTTCATCCCTGGATCCTCTGGTGCGCTCCAGGTAAGACTACCTGCTGAACCTCCACCCATCCTGCTTTCAGGATCACTGGATAAGAATGAACTTCCTCATGTTTCACTTCTTTCATGCGGAATTGTCAAAAAAAAAAAAAGCTAAACCATAATATATGAAAAATGTGA